AGTGTCTTCTACGACATGGAGCCTCAGGTCTGTTAATATTCAATTTCATTCACAAAGCAAGACAACATGTTACAGCTCTACTATGGATGAGAGAACATAGGTTTTTATTCTGTATTGTGAATATAACATATCCACACTAAGGTGATCATTGTGGATATCCATTGTTGGAATAATCGGGAATTTTCTTACATGAGTAACTCCAAATATCTTATAACTTTACACTCCTTTCAGAAATTACACATACCGGTAATATGTTTCTATCTGGGAAAATTGGTGTCAGACTGCAATCCCAAATACAGGAGAAATACTTGTTTATGTTTCTGTGTGTATGTGTGTGTAGGGGAAGCAGGCTGTCCTCATGTCAGTCATCACTGGTGAAGCTGTGGCTGCTGTGCGGGACATGGAGGACAAGCAGGTGGTGGATGAGTGCATGAAGGTCCTGAGGGAACTTTTCAAAGAGCAGGTAATGAAACAATGAAAATACTACTTACGCATGCTAAGTCCTTTTTTACGGAGCCCCCTAGGGGACACGGAGAAGAAATTTTTTTTATTGGAAAAACATAATAATAATAATGTTTTGCGAGATATCGAAAAACCTTTGCGAGATCTCGCAATACTTTTGCGAGATCTCACAAAACCCCTTTGCGAGATCTCGTAATGCTTTTGCGAGATCTTGCAAAACTTTTCATTTAGCTCACTGTACTTCCTGGTCAGTTCGGCTGCTACGGCAACACAGAAACCACAACAATGGAGTGGTTCATCGATTTTACTTTGAGCTTGGCCTTAAATATAAAGATATAACATTAGTGCTTGGCAATAGGCACAGGTTTCACACATAGACTGTATATATAAAGGGTTTCACATAAGTGAAGACACCTCAAGAGAACACTCAGAGCGACGGGACATGCACGTCCCTCTGAGCTGAGTTATTGACAGATTCGAATTTCGCGGATCAATAACTCATGAACTAACGTTGTAAAAATACAAACAACATGACTTTACAATCATAGCAAGATAGACAACGAGCTACAGAATCTTTTTTATCAGAACAGTTCGATACGCGCCGTCATCCGAGCTAAACATCAAGAATTGGTCACAATCTGCAGCTGGAGGAGGGAGAGGAGTGCTTAGGGACCGTCTACAAACTGCAACGGGGTTTTGCGAGATATCGCAAAAGTATTGCGAGATCTCGCAAAGGGGTTTTGCGAGATATCACAAAACTTTTTAATTTATTTTTTGTTCAAAACATTTTTTTTTTCTTCTCCAGGGGGCTTCGTACCTTTTTCAACCAAATAGTCTCAGAAACTGAACTTGGGAAAAAAATAGCTAAAGGTTTAGACTTATTTAGACGTTTAAAAAGGTGCTACTCTGATGTTTAAATGGTTAAAAAGGAGACAGTCTTCTGCCCTCGTAGTTCTTGGGCTATCGAAAAGTTATTTGCCCAAAACAGCCACGTTGTATGGACCAGGAACTAAACTCATTCCTTCTGAAAATATATCCTGGTATAAAAAATATTCGATCTATCAACACAAAATACACCTATAACCTTTCACAAACAATATGTTTCGGAGTTAGTTCGTTTTTTTGTGGGTGTTTTTCATTACTGTTTACTGTCTGTCATCCCTAACAGGAGGTCCCAGAGCCGGTGCATTTCTTTGTGACACATTGGACCAAAGACATGTGGTCCCAGATGTCCTACAGCTTTGTGAAGACGGGGGGGAGCGGAGAGGCCTACGACATCCTGGCTGAAGACGTGCAGGGAAAAGTCTTCTTTGCTGGAGAGGTAAGTACACATCAGACAACTAACCAGTTTTATTTATTCCTCTATTTCTTTTAGAGATAAGATAATTCTTATCTCTAAGTATTCCAAGGTCGCCTTGAACACTAAAAAAAAATACATCTATAAAAGTATTAAGGAAAAAATATCTAGATATGTGAATATATAAAGAGAAATTAAAAAATATGTTGATTAGAGAGTGTGGAAATATAAATACAATAAATAAAATAATAAATCAACATGGAATTAAAATAATTATTTCTGTATATATTTGTTCCTGTATTTAAAAGAAAAGCGCAATTCATTAATGAATCATTCTTTATTTTAAAAGGTCTCAAACTACCTAAAAAATTGAATCATGATTGTTTTGTCAGATATTTGGTCACTTTCTGGCTTCCGGAGATTTTAAAACTGTTTTTAGTTTATTTGTTTTCTTGGTTTGTGTTTCCAGGCCACCAACAGACACTTCCCTCAGACTGTGACCGGAGCCTACCTGAGCGGGGTCAGAGAGGCCAGCAAGATGGCTGCTCTGTAGACTGCCACTGAACACTCAAACACACCAGCATGGACCGTTAAAGTCTGCAGTAACCTGAATAACTCTATAAATGACACTTCACTGTTATGGGATGTGTTTGGCCAGTAGGACGCCGTCTCTCTCCATCAGCTGGGCCAGGCTCTTCATTTTTAACAAAAGAAGGCTAAAAACTTTGGTTGGAAAACAATTGTTGGTAACCAGATAAATAATTAATTTCAACACACAGAAAACAGCAAACCCCTGCACAGCTCTGCCTGGGTCCGCTGGGATGGAAAGCAGGATTAAGGTATATTAAATTTGAGTTTAATTTGCGATGTATGTAGCACTTAATGATGAAAAAAGTCCAAAAACGTAATTTTGAAAGATTAGCTTTGCATGAAACATTGGTATACTCTCGTTTTATCAGGAAGTAAGTCAAATTGTATCTCCTTGGTTCAAGATTCAAGTGATTATATTTAAAACTATTTTCTTTTGAGAGTTACCTACCAATGTTTTAAGCAGATATAATAAATGTTCGTTATATGTTGGTACAAATTGAAGAAAGGTTAGACATATAGTACTTCTGTGATAGCACTTTTGATTTAAGCAACTTTTTGATTAAAAAATGTTAAGAAAATGAATAGTTCATGTGTAAGACAAGTTATATAGTGAGTATGATTTGAGGATGGTCCCCTCACTGTCTCAGGGATGTGATCAACACACCTAGCAGAAAATGATGGAGAATGGACAACTGAGAAAATGGTTGGGAGAAAAAACACAACCAACTGGAGAAAAACTTAATACATCTGTTTTATTAATTCCTGAACAATGAGGTTTGGGGTCGGGGAACAGCACAACGATATCCTCACTTTCTGTGATTAATATTGACTAATGAAGCTTTACATCTTTATCCTCATATCTCTGTGTACACTAGTTGATCATTTCCTGTTTTGTCCGTGCTTGAGTATTTATCTTGTTGGTGTGTAATAAACTGAGCTATCAACTGCTGTAGTGATCCCTTCACTTGTGGAGGAAGATTTGTCTGTGATTTCTCCCTTAAGTCAGCGTGATTATATTTATCAATTATTTGTAAAGTGTGCATGCTGCGACTGCGCATGTAGCAGTTGCTTTTTTTAATCTTTGATCTTTTTTCTTATTTCTCCTTCTTACTGTGATCTTTTTTTTACTCGAACATTTTAACTTCTATTTAAGCTAGCATTTTAAAACACTTAATGATGGATCCCATTTTCATTATTATTATATAAAGTGTTATACATTATACAGTAGCATAATGTAAGTATTTTTATATCATTTTTTGGCTCTATTTTTCTTATATTTTCTCTATTTTGATATTGTTGTGTGGGAGTAGCTGTAATTGGCACTTTCACACCGGAGTACTTTTACCCGTTCTTTTCCCGTTTAGTTCTGTTTTTGCATTCACACCAAAAAGAGAACTTAGTTTAGAGAACTTTTACCCCTATTTTTAGTGCCTGCTAGAGAGGTGGGACTATCCTGGAGAGAAAAAAGTACACATTTCTGATTGGCTGGGCGAATTGCAAACCATGCCCTGTAAAACTTTGAAAAGTTTGTTGAAGCCGCCATTGTATTTGCTGGCATTAGCATTAGCCCTGCGCACCAACGGAGAGAGAATAACTTATGGCAACATAACAAAAAACATGGGAGCGGTGGAGTGATGAGGATGCTCATGTCACTTGTCAGATTCAGATTTTGGGGTGTTTCTCAATGTTGAGTAAAGCTGCTCCAATCAATCAATCAATGTTTATTTATATAGCCCAATATCACAAATGTTACATTTGTCTCAGTGGACTTCACAGTTTGTACAGAATATCAGGATGACAATACGACACCCTCTGTCCTTAGACCCTCACATTGTACAAGGAAAAACTTCCAGAGAAAACCCACAGTTTAAAGGGAAAAATGGGAGAAACCTCAGGGAGAGCAACAGAGGAGGGATCCCTCTCCCAGGACGGACAGACGTGAAATAGATGCCGTGTGTAAATTGAAAAGATAATACATTTGCAACATAGGTAGTCCAAATGTTTGGAAATGCATGTGTGTATAATAGGAAGATGAATCCACGAGGATATCCATCCAGGACTTATGATCCAGGACCACAGCCACGACTCAAGATCCAGGACTCGCGATCCATGACACAGGACCGCGAGTCCTGTGTCATGGAAATAATATTGCCACAGAAAAACTTTTCAG